TCATAGGATGGGCGGTTCGCAAAGTACAGCGAGGTGCTAACAGGCATCAGACACCCTTGACAACATGACTGGGTCGAAGCCCATAAGCGTCATCCTAGCCGTTCACAAGAAAGAGGTTTGTGGAAGCTGCTTCAGCAAGGCCTCCGACTGGCCTAGATATTTCATGCTAGGCAGCCCTCTCTTCGGGCCGCAACGAAGGTCAAGAACGAGTGCAAGAAGCAAAGCTGGTAAGAGTAGATAATTTTCGGACACACCAACGGCGCCCATGCAATCCTGGGATTAGCACGCTAATTGCACAATTCTCAAGCTAGCAAGCAAAGCCGTCTCAGAGAACATGGTCGATAAAGTTTAACGGCTGCTAACCGGTTCTGCGATACAAATCTGCAGAAGCTAAAGATTGCTAAGGCACAATCGCACAGTGCTATGATACGAGATTGAAACCGCAAACCCACAGCTGCATTTTCGAACTCCATGTGCGTGCACTGGAATCCCACGAAAGCACGTGAAAGGAGAAAGAAGAGAGGACATGCAGCTTTGAAAGCTGCATGGACAAGAGGATGATTTGAACGTGCCAGGAGAAGCATCATCTCCTCAACCGGACCTGAAGACGCAGAAGCAGGCCTGCCTCCATCTTCACACCACCAGAATTCTGAAAGAATTCTCTGTAGTTGTGCTAGCCGAATAGACAATTCTATTGCATAAAGTGAATCACTGATTAAGCGGATCACGGAGGAGTCCGACAGAGAGAAAGTGAGAGATAAGGGTAGAACGTAGATATTACTGGCATCGGACTCAAGGAGGGCTATCTTGGTTGTAATCCCAGTATCGTCGTCATAGCCAGAGGTAGAGCTAGTATCCCCACAGCGCAGTTTGAGACATAGGCATTCTATAGCAAAAATTTCACACCCATTTTGACCATTAATTGAGAATCCGTGAAGCTCTGGGCACGAGAAGCTATGGTTACAGAAGGTTTTGGCTCGTTCTTGTCGCTATCGATGTTTGAGAAGAGTTGAGGTTGAAATGGAGGGATTAAGCGTCCGGGCAGCCTTGAGATTGCAGTAAAAAGGTGCCCGCAAATAGTCCCTAGATAGCTTCGAACCAAAAGATACTGGCGAACATTTGAATGGCGCCACGTGGCAGACATATGCACCAAATAATGGGCCCGTCCCAAACATTTTCCACAGCCATTCAAACCCGTCCGGTGTAGCAAGAGAAAGAGAAAGAACATACGTGTGCAAGATTTTAGAATAGCACGAAGAGGAAGAAGGAACGGCGCAGCCAGCTTCCAGATTGCGACAGCGTCCCGGCCCGAAGGAGAATCCGGAAGCAATATAGTCTGGTGAGTGTGACTTGAACAGCCGGACCTAGTAACATCATTCTCTCGAAGTGCAGTTCTGACATATATCCTATTTCAAACTCGGTTTCAAAAGGGGCAAGCGAACGTCCAAACCTCGTCCCTTAGCCGAGTAACAGCAAGTCAGGTCCTGGGACCGGACCACTCCCAACCGGAAGTTTCTGAATGATTTGAAGGACTGGAGCAGAAACAGCCAGCGAAGAAAAGTTACAGACCTGAGCAATAGTCGATATCGAGTTTCCGTTCTTACAACTTTTTGCTCCTGAATAATGCATCACACTCACGGACCAGCCGAAGGGACTCACGGTTCGGGGCGAAACTAACGCCCATAGAAATCCAACAGCAAGAAGACGGAGGGCCATCCAAATTGTTGACTGAAGGACGGCGAAAGATGGAACCCAGCACTACGATTCGCACAAAGCAACCAAAAGAAGCATCATAATCTCCATCATCAGCGACTCGCATTAAGAAACCAGAGGAACCCCCAAAGTCATACCAGGGATCCGAAGGAGTAGAAAAGGACGGCCACCCGAAGTGGTGAATGAAGAACGACGTAAGAGGGGAACCCACTACTACAGTCCAAGAGAAGCAACCAAGATAAGCTTCATTTCTTGTGTCAACCAGCAACTCTCATGCAGAAACCGAAAATTACTCACAGTGCCCCAATCAAGGATTAGAAGACCAAGACCCATAATGGGGTGGATGGAGGAAGGAAAAATTCAAGGAAGCCAAACCGAAGTCCGCAAAACGCAACATAACGACTTACGTTCCGAGACCAGACGACTGCCCACACCGCCCCTAGCGATCCAAAGGAGTAGAAGACGGAAGGCCACCCGAACTGGTGGATGAAGGAGGGCGAGATCCCCAGCCCGGTGACGCTCCCCAGGTACATCCCGCTATATACAAGGGCCAGCGCACGGCTCCGCTCGGTCTTCGGGACCCACCGCGCAAGAAGATTGTTCATTGCAGGCATCGCCACTCCCTGAGAAGGTGAATTACATACATTAGTTCTAGTTTGGTAAGGTTATCACAACGGGACTTTAAGAAACGGGACTTTAAGAACTTCCCGCTATATACAAGGGCCAGCGCGTGGCTGCGCTCGGCCTTCGGGACCCACCGCGCCAGGAGGTTGTTCATTGTCGGCATGGCAACGCCCTGGAAATGTAAAAACGAGTCGACATATATCACTGAAATGTCATTTGTCTGGGATGGAAAGCTGCTATGGGAGGAACATTCCAATGTACACCAGGGGCGAGTGCGCGGCTGCGCTCGGTCTTTGGCACCCACCGCGCCAGGAGGTTGTTGATTGCAGGCATCGCCACGCCCTGTAAAGGCGTCCGGATGTATTGTTGGGTGTACGCTTCTACTTAGGGGAATGAAAGTTGCTCTATGAAGTTCCTCCCGCTATGTACAAGGGCCAGCGCGCGGCTGCGCTCGGTTCTCGTCACCCACCGGGCTGGGAGGTTGTTTACTGCTGGCATCGCTGCGCCCTGGGTCAAGAGAGTGGGTCAAGAGAGTGGTCTCGGAAAGTGGGTCGAGATACGAGTTGAGGTTGAGCTTCTTACTTCATGAACTGAAGAGTCACCTCGTTAGAAACCTCCCGGTGTATCAAAGGGCTTGCGCCCGAGTGCGCTCGCTCTTACTGCACTAGGAGGTAGTTTACTGCAGGCATCACAACGACCTGAAAGAAAGGGTTTGGAACGCCCTGAAAGGAAGGGTTGGTGTTAGATTACTTGGTTGAAGAGCTGAGATTGAGTATCTCCTGGCCACAGAAGAGGCACAAGTGCGCTCCGCCTTTGGGACCCACCGGGCCAAGAGATTCATCATCGCAACCATGGGGACGCCCTGAAAGAAGGATACGGCATCAACCAGGAGTTGGGGAGCTGATGATTGAAGAGAAGGGCCAGCACATAACCAAAATTCACCACCGCCAGACTTTGCCAGACACTAAGATGGCAAATTCGATGGCGGCTCTGAGGAAAGCAGGAGCGTGAAGATAGCCAGCCTCAAAAACCGCCAAAAACTTCCAGGTCAAAAAGCAAAAAACAAAGGGACTCGATTCTGCCAGATAGAAGTAGCTTCCACATCCCTAGACAGAGGGAGATGTTTCCAACATCCTTGCTTTATACCCAGAGGCAGGCAAGCCCGGAATCTCATTAAGTTGAGGAAACTCCAGTTTCGCAATTGATCAGAGGGCTCAAGTGGGGTTCTTGGGGGCAGAGTTCGCTTCGATCTACCGGATCAACACAAGCAGACCCAAAGCCAGAACTCGGTTCTGAAAAGTATACTCTGTAAGTCTCCGAGTTAAGGTTTGAAATTTTCGAAAGCCCTCACCTCACCAACCCCCATACACGCCCTCGCAGCCAACAGCGCTGGCAGCCCCAGCTTTGCAGCGAAGGGTGTCAGAACCGTTGCCACACTCCACCAGACAACCCCGAACCCAAGAACCTTTTTGCCTCCGATCCGGTCGGCCCAAACCCCGCCCGCGACCTGGGTTAGGAGATAACCCCAAAAGAAGGAAGACTGGACGACGCCCACGGTTTGAGAGTCCCAGCCGTAGTCCTGAGACATGGGCAGGATTGCAATGCTCATGTTCACCTGGAGATAGGAAATGGAACTTGTTGTCAAGAGACGGGATAGGCCGACATTTGTGATGTTTTAGACAAGCTCATGGGTGACTTGACAACCGTTTACAAGGTGGTTTCACAACTACGTTTGCCAGTACTGAACTTCAAAAAGATCTAAAGCGCTGCAGTTTTTGCACAGGTCAGTCCACTCTCGTAACATTCAGAGGAGTTGATGAAACACAAACAGAAACAAGAATGACTCTTAGTTTCCTTGTCCCAGCTTCTTGCAAGGAGCTGGGGCATCAATCAAATGGCAACCAATCATGATGAGAGCATTAAACTAATCCTTAGAGCTGCTGGCAAAAGTAACACAAGCATGTGAAGCACCTCTGAGAATGATCCACAGCAACTTCTATGAACAAGGAGTGACATTTGAAAGCCACCATGTACCCGCCTGGAGACCCCCTGCGCTTTGTACATGAAGCAGAATTCACAATGATTGGGAGATAAGAAGCCGCCAGTCACTGGGGCCTGAGATATTAGGTTCCTTGGCTAAAATTGCAGAACTTGGTTTCAATGCGACACTCACCCGGTCCATATTGCAAAGCAGAAACGCCGTGAAGCACAGCCCCACGATCACCCATCGTTTCGGAAGTCCGTCCCCTTTCAAAACCGCTTCCGCACCGTCCACTACCTCTATCGGCAACTCGTCCCCTTGCTCTGACTTCTCGTCTACGCCCTCATCGGTTTCTGTGCTGACCGCTTTTGTGCGAAACCGCCCTCTAAGCTTTGAAAACTGTCCGGGTTTTGCGGCTGTTAAAGTGGTACTGGAGAGGGGGTCAAACCGGTTGAAACCACTCTGCGTCCCCAACGGTGAACTCCGTATGCTATGAATTTTGGAGCTACAACTCGCGGCTGGGCTTGCTCTCCTGCTAGCGGGGGGCAGGGAATGGTGCCCCTTGCTTGCTGCATGCATGCACGAGTGCGCCGCCAAAAAGAATGTTCTATGTACAGGGTTTACGCTGCGGTTAACTGTGATTCCATTGTGATTAGGGCTGCTGACCACCGGGTAGAAAGTGCTCAGATGCACTGCAAGAAAGAAAGAAGAAGGGTTTCACATCCCTCGGAAAAGTCTGAAGCTTGCCTGGACAAACTTTGAATGGACAATCATGGAAGTATGAATCTGGGAAACTCAAGTTGCAGGAGTTCATTAAACAACTCCACGCACAGAGGTCAAACTGGAAAAAAATATGCCAGAGCACTGCGAGGTAGGACGGGGGTGAACTAGGAGGTGTGTGATGCTTGATTCGTCCGAGCTTGCGTTGCTCACTCCTGTCTAAGGCTGCACACATTTCCAAAGGTGCTCGTTCAGAATCGTCAAGAAAAGCTCGTGTGGTCTGGTCAGAACGATCATCAAATGTCTCGTGTTTTGGATGACATCAAGCATATGTACGTGGTATACACTGGTCTTAGCACTCCAACAAAAGCATGTTGTGCTTGGAATGTACACCAGGATCTCCGAACCTTGACATCCAAATGTTGTATGATAGCTACTATCTTCATGACTTTTAAAGAATATTTTGCCATCGGCTGAGGTTGGTCCACTTGTTGCTAGAAGCAGCGGAGTCAACTAACCAGACATAGACTTTGTGATCAAGAAAGAATCAAGGAAGAATCAAGGCAGACCATTGAAAGAGCACAAGGGGGTCGACGAAGCTAACAGTCTACCACTCAATGATCAGAATTTTTCCGAGGCCTTCCAACATTTGCAAGCAGCTGCTTACAGCTACAACCATTTGCTCGTCTCAAGTTGATTGATAGGAATCAGCACCTGGCATTATAAAAAGCCTGCCACAACCAAAGACCTTCTAATCATCACTAGCAGCCTTCAGAAACATCTCCGCGCCGAGTCTGACTACGAAAGAAGCACTACTCTACGATGGCCGGATATTACTCAAGCTATTTTATTTAGCACTTCGTTGGTTTCACATGGAGAAACTTACCAGCACCAGGACCCCTTCCTGTTCCACATACCGGAGCTCTCTGGAAACCCCTTGCCAATGGTGAAGGGGCTGGAATGCAATGCAAGCCTGTCTCCGCCATCTGTTTGCTTGTGATTTAAATGATGGTGTGCTTCGAGAGCCTCACCTGACCTCGCCAACGGGCTAGAGACTGCAAGAATAACGTAACCGCATTGCCAGGGCGGTGTACTGAAGGAGCAGGGCATTCATTATGGCCGTCGTCCGCTGGCCCGGCAAGTTCACCTCATGCAAGGGGTGAAGGGGACGTACCCGGTACCAATGCCATGCACATACAGTGACAATGAAATACGGTACCTACTCGTGGGGGGACCAGGTGGTGGCAAAGTACACCCCCTGATGGGCAATGGTCCAATTAGCCCTACACAATGGTGGAACTCAGACTTCGAAACCCCGTCGTTTTGCTTACGGTCAAGTAGCCGGTTAGGCGAAATGGAGGTCCCGTAGTAGGGTCACCGTGGGGTGTATTCCTCCGACACGTTCCCGCTAACGATTTCCCAGCTACTTGCTTAACCCTCTCATCGTGTTAACCGAAGACGCTCGGACACAAGAAGATGCAATCCTGACCGTCCCAATCGAGCACCTTTAATCATTGGACGGTGCTGAACCTGGTTAAAGCTTAATTGCGGCGTTTGCGGCATTTTCTATGATGACGCGGTAGATCGTAGCTTCCCCCTTGCTGACGTCAAGGATATCTTTCTGTCATGTCAGGAGTTATACGCAAGTTTCGGCCGTCTATATTCGACTAAGTTTAACATCAGCGGCTGAAGTTAGTTCAATGGGGACCTCCTCCCGACATTCCGGAAGGGGGGTGCGTCACTACAATCTCGCTTTCCGAGGAGTGGGGTGTGGAGTTTTTGACGCGTTGCTTGTGCAACTGACCGGATTTTCACCAGCTTCACTGCCGTTTTGGTGAGCTGATGCTGCTGGTACCGGTATCAGCTCTTCCTTCCCCCATACAAGCACGCAACTGCGCTTCGAGGTTCCGGCCAGTTCAGTTCAACTTCAAGTTCAAGTTCAAACCACACCCACCTTCACCAGACTTCACCTCGCAAAATATCGGGAGGTGAAGGAGTTGGATAGCCGGAGCTGGCAGGAGCTCAGGCGCCATGGCGTAGCGCTAGGGCTTGAAAAACTTCTAATGTCATGGACCTTCCGTTCAGAGTCAGCACATAAGCACTTCTGCTTTGGAAACGCCGCATAGAGTGTTCTCGCTGACGGGATTGATAAAGGTTGCTTCCACAGATGCGAGCCCGGCTCACCTAGATATGTTAGGCTTTAGACTGTATATTGTGCAAGTACACAGACAGATTCGGCCTGTGAAACCAGCTATTTGACTCTGCCGGTGTCGCAGCAAAGGGAAATTTGTGATACCGCCTAAAGACACCTAATTAGTACATTGATAGAGAGCTGGCAGTGCGGTCATCCGACCATCTAAGTGGAGCGCTTGTGGCAAGAGGTGGAGAAAGTGGGTGTCTCGGTTCTGGTTTGGCAGGTTGTGGTTTCAACGGGGCGGTAGAGATGGCAATGTGCACAGAGGGCGAGTTGGAGGTAAGCCTCTACCTTTTCTTTAGAGCAACAAAATTTGTTTTTTCTTTTGCTGTGGATGAGATACTGAGTGCTGTGGGTTTCTTTTCCCGCGTGCGTTCCTGGACGTTCAGAGTTGCAACCTGACATGAGGATGTTATTAGCAGAGTCAGTGTCATCTCTGACAACTTATGCAATGTGGTAGATGGTAACTGGAGCCGCTCACTCTCACCTGCGCCAGCTCTTAGATGCGACTAGGGCTTTCCCCAGGCAACAAAGGGTTGCCATCTTCATTTTTCCTTCACTCGCATGCGGAAAGGTGTTACGTTATCTTTTTTCTAGGACCGTGTTGGTGCACCCTAGATAGTTTCCTAAGGGTTTGTTCCGAGCATTTTATGCCCCGTCATTTGCCACCTCACCAGGGAGGTTCCTCTTGGATGCCGCACCACAAATGCTGGGCAACTCACGGGTTTAGTATTTGCAGAGTCCACTATGCTTTTTTGTGGTCAACGACATGGTGCACATGAGTTTGGCAGGACAGCACATTCATCGGGACTCGATGGTGTTTACTTGCTGTCAGGAGAAGAAGCTTCTTGTGGAAATTATCAACGAGCTGTGTGCGACTGGAAGTTCGTTGTAACTAAATGAGGAGTAGTATCTAGAATTCAGAGTATGATTCCTCGCAACTCACATCTTGGCATCTTACCTGGCCTTTGGGAGGCTCTTTCTGAGATTCGTCTTATAGAAAGGCACACTCTTGCTGCATTTCTGATCTCTGGACCACATCATATGCCTCGGACATTTGAAGACAGGGAGGCCCAGTCTCGCTGCCTGGATCTGCAAGGTGCTCGCTTCATTGACTAAGAAGTCCGTAAGCTGTGAGCAATGCCTGGCTAAGGGTTTAGCTTACCTGTCAGAAGAATGCCTTACTCTCAGTCCTTGTACTGCCCGTTAGGGGCAATTCACCAGTTCAGAAAGTGGTCTGCAGGGTGCCAAAGTCTACGTGTTTGCAGCTACTGTGCTTTGAATGGTGCGAAAATTGACCAAGATGTAGAAACTCAGAACATCCAGTGTCCCGGTTTTATTTTGATGTCATGGTGCTTCATGAGCACTGGTTACGTAATCAGCACTGTGTACTTTTGGCACCGACATGCAACAACAAGCTGCCAGCAAATCTTTGAGCACCTTCAAACAGCTAGAGTAGCAGTAAATTTTTGAACAATGAGCCATTGATTGATTGACTGACTGCTTTTCTAGCAATTCTTGATTTGCCAGCCTTGAAATGTGGTGGATTGAATTTTGTAACTCTTCGAGCTTATTACTCGGTGTTACTTTCAAATCTGACATGCAGAGATTCTCAAGAAAACCGATAGCAAGTCACTTGAGGGACAGCATTGCAGGATTGAGAAAGAATATGCCTTTCATCCTGAGCCAATCTTTCTACTCATTTTGAATCAAATCATCTGTGTGAATCCTTTCCAGATTCATGGTATGAGTAAGGCAATGCTGCTAATTCAGCCAGCAGATGTAGCCAGCAGATTTCCGCCTTAAACATATATTGTGAGCTGCCTGCTTGTTTTCGAATCTGAACAAAGTTTGAGAGTTTGTAGAAGATTTGGATCCGAGTGCTTATTCGCCAAGCTTGCAAAGATTGTGAAGATTCAAAAGGTTGACAGGTTTTATTCTTTCCAGTTTGCTTGCTTGCAACAACAGGTATCGCAGAAACTTCCTTCTCGTATCTCGTATTGACAAAGCCCTTTGCTTCGGGAGCAGGAGGTAGAATTTGTTGACAACTGACAGCCTTAGATGGTGCCTACTGGATCATCTGCTCAGTGGTTTGAATTCCCCCTGAGAAAAGTTCATCACCATTCCCCGTTTCCTGCTTGATGCTTTGGTCAGGTAGCGATCAAGTGCAGGGTGCATGTCTTCAAATGGTTTAACTAGAGTCTTCTCTCAGGGACACTTAACGACTCCCTCAGAACTTGGTCGCGCCAGACTGTAGCAACTTAGTGGTAGAAGGAAGTGGCTGAGCGACATTCAAACCAGGTGTCTGACATCGCTCATTGCCAGTGCAGGCGCTGAAGCCTAGGACAAGATGATGAAAAAGCTGTTCAACAAGTGGGGGGGCAGCGAGGAGGGGAAGGGGAAGAAGGCCGCGGGCCGCGCGAGCGAAGGCCTTGTTAGGGGTCCAGACATACCCAATCTGCTCAACTCAGGACCCCAACTGCTTGCAGCAGGGCCTGGCGAGAGTGGGGGCTTGGACAAAGGTGAGGGGGGGCGTTCGCTGCACTGCTGTTGTTCGCAAAGTTGAGTGCTTCATCTCATTGTCTATCTGTAGTGCTCCAAAGCTTCACCTAGTGACATTGAGCAGGGAGTCGAGCATACAGGACAGGCATTGGGCATGTTGCCTCTGTTTGCCCAGTAACTGTTAGGCCTTGTGCGCAGGCGTGTGTTGACATGCCGCGTCAAGCTGGTCAAGCATACGCTCTGTTTGGTGTGCCTTGTTATGATCGGTGTGATACAGATTGTGCATCTGCATTCCCACTACCGTGGGACCTACTCTCCCAATGGGGTCTTCGCAGAACCAAAGACCCGCCGATTGCTCCTACTCAACCTCTTTGTCAACCTTCTTGCAGAACCTCCTGATGCCCATACTAACCGCCCCGTTCCCTCCTTCATAACCAACTCGGTTAACCTCCCCAGTTATGGCCAGTCGGCCGCGGTGCCCCTCCCCCTCCCTTCCGAGGCCATTGCCCTCCCGCTCCCCGAGCCTTCGCAAGGCCCCCACCCATTTCCCAGCTCTCAGGGCAACCCTCAGTCCCTTCCAACGGAGGACAGCGTTTCCCCTGGGGGTTTCGGATTCCCCAACCAAGGCCTCACAAGGCTAGTCCTGGAAGGGGACCCAGCAACGAACTCTGATGCAGGAAAAGGGGTTAGCAATAAGACTGGGTTAACCATCTCCCGCACCGGGGGCAACAAGTCGAGTTACTCAAGCCCCCGGGGCCTGTCGTCAGTATTTCGGAGCGGGCCGAAGAATGGAAAGGCTGGGAGGGGCGAAGCAGGTGTGAGGACTAATCAGAACCCACTTCCGTTCAACTTCCCAAACCAGCGGCCCTCCCCATTGGAGACGGTCTTGAGCGGCCCAAAACGGGGCCAGGTTCTCAGACCCGTTTTGGATGCGGCCGCTAGCGAGCCGGCAGCTTCGCCGCAGCTGCCTCCTGATCTGTCGTCGACCCCCTCCCCAAACATGACCCCTCGGAGCGCGCCAGACTGGACCAGCGCCATGCCCCCTGTCAGCCCTTTCTGGAACCGAACCTCTCCAGGGGGGTCGGCAAACCCGCTCGCTCCAAAACTCCGTCGGAGCCCTTCTCTGAACTCCAACCCGGACTCGAACTCGGTCGACCACTCCAACACGAGCAGCCCTCTCAGCCGGTTTAGCCCCGTGGGTCAGGCTAACCAGAGCGCTAACCAGGTTCCTGGGAAGCCAGGCAAAAGTGCCCCCTCCTCGCCTGCCCACTCCGAAGGCCTTGGGGCAGGGAAGCCGGACGCTTTTGGCTCAGGGCACAGTATAGGATCCGCAATGTCGGAGCCCCCCCTCAGCACCGATTCCGCTGAGCTTAACAGCAATCAGACTGAAGCGGAGACGATTCGGAGCTCCCTTCGGGGAGAAGACGAAGCCAAGCAACTGGAAAGCGGGGAAATTGTGCATGGGCGGCATCTGCTGGGCCTGGACCCTTGGGAAGAGTCGGGGCGGGACGACTCGTCGGAAGCGAGCAGCCCCGGGGGGTCCGAGAGCACGGAGTCGAGCGTGGCTGGAGACTGGCTGAATAGCTCGTCTCCGAAACGGGAAAAAGGAGCTGTTCCAGCCCCCAGGGTGCATTTTGACCTGAACGCTCCTCAAGCTGTTCAGGGGGGCGGTGGCGCGGGCTTTCAGGGGATCCTTTTGAGCCCCCGGGGGAAAGCTGCCACGACCGAAGGGCTTGGAGATGCGCCGCCGCTGGTGGGCGTCCCTGAAGCGCACGATCTTCCGAGGCATTCCGAGGGGGGGTACAAAAAAGAGGTAGGGGAAGAGGATCTGACCCGGAGCATTACCCCCCGGACCGCCGAGGCGTTGCAGGGGGAGGCCGGGCGGCAGAAGGGAAGCCAAGCGGGTTCGCCGGCGCCCTTGGGGGTGAGGAGCCCGCAAAAACCGGTAGTGGGAGCGGTGAACAGGGTGCAGCGCCCGCTGAACACGCATTTGAACGTCCCGAAGCAGCTGACGCCGATCACGGCGGGGCCAGCGTGGCATGAGAGCATCGCCGGGCTGCCTCTCTCAAGTGAGTGGGCTCTACTCCACTCAATCGTTTTGGCGGTTGTTTCTTGCTCAAGAGTGCAACCACTACTGTAAGTTGGAACACATATGCAGCTTAGTTTAGGATTTCACTATCCGAGAGGATATTTCGTTACCTCAGGTCCTTGCTCATCCTGGCCCTCTTGGCAATCTACGCTTGCCCTCGGTGTCACTTCTGTAAAGTTTGGTTCTGCTCAACCTGGTGGGTCTTGACTTGGTCATGAACAGAGCTTTCCATATTCTAAACGACCTTGGAGCATATTAGTTCTAATCCAATAGCCAAACAGATAATTAAGGCCGTTCTAGACTGAGCCAGCCAGTAAGATTCCGCTCAAGCAGCATTGCTTTTGACAGTTCCTAGACTCGAATCGAGGCTGATTGCGGCACTCCCGTCTGGCAAGCTCAGACTCGGCACGTATTGGGTTCTTAGGGTCGTCAATTGTGCCAATGATTTGCTCATACACTGGAGGTTGGTCGCTGCATACGCTCTGCCTAAATGTTCAGCCCGCGAGGAAGGACTTTGACTAGGAAAACGGTACTGCTGTCCGGCATCACGATTCTGTGGGTGAGCGAACTGGGCAACGGAGGAGGATATTTGCACCACCGAACCTTTCAAAGTGACCAAGGCTCACGTCAGATCATTCTGCATGTGCAGGCTCAGAGGCCGCTAGTAGCGCGCCCCAGGCGCACCCGCTCCCTGACATTGGTCAAGCGTACACCCCGCCCTCCGTTGCAAACACACCGTCTCCCAGGGAGGGGACATCCCTGCCCCCTGCCCCTCAATGTGAGTTCTCGACATTTCCATTCCCTGTGGATGAGCATGGCTTTCGTTCAACGACAGTCTGCTTGAAATGTGGTCACTTTAGTGGGTTCGTCTGACCACACTTGTGCTGCTCAAAGCTTCAGCGACTCTTAAAAAACTGGTTGACACCCTGAGATGGCTCTGGAGCTTGCTTCATGCTTTGAGGAAGTTGTTGAAGAGCGTCTCTGGAGAGTGTCTTGAAAACAACAATTGCTTGGTTCGAGAACAGGCCACCTGGAACGTTTACGTTATTGATCCGCTTGGATGGATTCGCTGGAACGTTCACGTTATTGTTTCACTTGGATGGATTCGCTCTAACTCTTCAAAGTCAGACTTGCTAACTTGTGCCGCGCTCTGAATGCAGCCCTTGCTTCACGAGGAGCTTCCCGTGCTGCTCAGAACCGCACCCTCTCATCCCCTGAGCCCCATTCACACCACTCCCGAGCTTCCTCGGAAGGGCGTGTCAAGGCGAACGAAAATCTTGGGGGCGGAAAGCCGCTGCAATTGTCACAAGCGGGCAGCATGCTAGACGGCGGCGCTCGGTCTCGACCTCACCGGAATCACTCGGAGCCTATCCCGCGAAGCTTTGCCGACGCCCCTATTTTCCCAAGGACCGACATTCATCCACTACCGCTCTCGGAGGCCACGCGCACGCTGAGCGACCCAATCTTGCCCCGCCCACAAAAACGGACGTCTCTAGATCAGGACGCTACACCGTTACCGCTACCCTTACCACCCACCGAGGACAAAGGGGTCCTTAGCAGAGGGGTTAGCCCAAGCCAAGCCCCAGTCTCTCCAGCGCAACCATCTCCTCTACCTTTGTTGCCCCAAACTGGTTACCCCCTAACCCCGAGCGTCTTCCCTACTGGCAAGCCTGCCGGCTCGGTGTCCCCCTCCGTAGCCTCTACCCGCTCATTGTCTCCGCACGCCTCCCCAATCTCCGTTTTGCAACGGGGGGACAGAAATAGTAGGGAGTTTAGGGGGGTGAACGCTGACCAGGTCGCGCCTGGCCCGAAGTTGCCGGTCAACTGGAGGAAGGGCGAGAAACTAGGTAGCGGGACTTTTGGAAGCGTGTACCGGGGCTTGAACAGTGACACGGGGGAGATGTTTGCGGTGAAGGAGGTCGGCGATGCGCAGCAGAACGTTTTGGACGAGAGCACCTCCCAGTTGGAACACGAGGTGGCGCTCCTGAGCCGTTTGAAGCACCCTAACATTGTACAGTACGTTGGGACAAAGCGGGTGAGCGATTTCTTCAACATATCTGATATCAATCGACTCTTTGTGACGGTATGTGCGACGACAAGTCGGACGCATCTGACCCCTGTTACCGTTATTGTGTCGTTCCGTGGACCACTCTGGATCTTCCAATGATTTGTTTCTGACTACGTATGTTTCAGTGTCATCCCTGGATTTGTTTGTCCGCATCGATCGCTGTCGAATAGGGCCTCCGCTGTTTTTGTTTCTTGTCTCTCCTGCTTTGTCCCTTGTCCGCTTTCCAGCTCCTCAGGACCTGCCGTGCAAGCACGCAAGGGCTCTTGTGAACAACGATGACGAAACCCTGCCATCCTGTAATTCTAGTCCTTCCATTCTTCAAGGACCGCTGCAAACTCCTCTCTCATGTTCCATGTACATCTTTGAAGCAATCCTGCCGCTGTCTGGCCAATGTCTGAATCCACAACCTGAAATCTGTAAATCTAGCACCTCACAACCCCAACCGAGTTTCGATCATCTTTGCAGGAGGACGGGAAGCTCTACATTTTCCTCGAATTCATGCCGGGGGGGTCCATCGAGTCGAACCTGCGCGCCTACGGTCGCTTCACCGAACCCCTCATCCGCGCGTACACGAAGCAGATTTTGTGCGGTTTGAAGTATCTTCACGACCAGAGCACCATTCATCGGTATGATCCTAACTCTCTCAGGAGTCTTGAGGTTGTATCTAACGTATTAATCTCTTGGGAGAATGTTTCACGGTCTCACGAGCTCGTCCTATACGTGGTTTATGCTCAGACTGACTGAGAAGGTTGTCTCACAATTGCTCGGCTCTTTTGAGCCGTTAGCTTATGAGCGCACCTCGACAGTTCATACTGCGAGCATTTTTCCAGGAGCACCAGAAAGCTCGAGACTGATGCGCTCCATACATCCCATCTTCTACATGACTGTTTTCGGAGCTTTTTTCCGAAAGAGCGGGTTGGGTCGGGCGGAAAGCTTTCATCGTAGAGTCATCTTCACGCCTTTTGTCGTCCTTCCCCTCAATCCTCTCGGCCTGTCTATGGAGGAGCTCCTTTCTTTCCTCAGAAAGCCAGGAGCCAAACGGTTGGTGATCAAAAATGTCTTCGTTAAGATGGGCCCTTTGGACGACGGAGCATACTCGGTTCAGTCTGCCTTCGAGCGATTGGGCTGCGTATCCCTTTTGTTTGTTTTGCTTTCCTGAAACCTCTCCCTTTTGCACGCAGGGATATCAAGGGAGCCAATATTCTGGTGGATATCAACGGGCGCGTGAAGTTAGCGGATTTTGGGATGGCCAAGCAGATCTGCGAAACGAACTCCCTCGCTGCCAAATCCGGCATCAAGGGGAGCCCTTTCTGGATGGCGCCCGAGGTAAGGATTGTGATTAAATGACTTTCTTTGCGAGGTATCCACCTTGTGCGGAGCTATGGTAGACAAGAAAAGCTCGAAAAGCTGTATTAAAAGAAGTCCCTCGGAAGCAAGGGGAGCCCTTTTTGGATAGTAGTCGCGGTAGGGATTGCGAACATATTGGTTTTCGTTCTACGACAGAGCCGCTTTTTCCGGAGCTGTGTAAGACAGGAAAGCCTACGAAGCATGGGAAAAAGTTTGAAGAGAGGAGAAAAGGCGTGACGTGGACTGTTTGATATCCTTAGCTCGTTGCGAATCCAGTGACAAGGGTGAAGACAGAGTAAGAGAGCGACGAGGAGGCATTGGAGGTTTATCTGCTGCAAGAGTGACCACATGAAAGCACGCTGCTCCACTCTGAGCCCCGCAAACGTCTCGGTTTGCTAGTGTTTTGTCGCTTGCTTGGTCCAACATATATCCCCCGACCTGTTCAGATGAACCAATCCGTGACCTGCTTATACTCGCTCTCTTTCTCCACCGTTCTCTCTATTTCTTTGTTTCCCACCCTTTTGTGAGCGACTGATATTGGATAACTCAGGAATCCGGGTGGATCCTGCTCTCTTCGTCGGCTGTTCTAATTCACACTTTGTTACCCTTTTTCGCCGTAGGTGGTTAAGCACGAACGACGAAATGACGGACGACCAGCGGACATTTGGAGCGTCGGGTGCACGGTGTTGGAGATGGCGGAAGGCGTCCCCCCCTGGAGCCGCGATTGCACTAACCCGGTGAGTAAACCCTGGTAAACTCTGGTTTCCCGGGTACTGGCCCGTCGAGCTTGAAAATCGGTTCAGCGCTGCCTGTGACTCTTACCAAACGCAAAGGCTAGAGCATGGAGTGTGCAGCGTTTGGGACGGCGGGAGGGGCTGTCCTACGGGGGCGTGAGAAATTCCGTCAACTACTCAATAACCAAGGCGGAAGATGCCTATTTATTCAATGTGAAACGTACGCTTAAAGGTGCCCTTTGACCCACTTTTCGCAGATCCAAATCATCTGGAAGATTGCTTCTTCCAACGACTACCCCCACATCCCGGAGCACCTCTCCCAGACCGCCGTCGACTTCATCAAAGTCTGCCTCAACCGCTCCCCCGACGAGCGCCCGAAAGTTGACGACCTTCTTAGCCACCCTTTCATTGCTGACGTCGTCCCAGAAACCCCCCCTGATTTGTCGGTAGCTTTTTCCCGGGTGTCCCCTCCGGGCACTCCCTCCCCCCGGCCGGCGCCGCCGGTAGTGCCCCGGACGCTGAACCGGACGAGTCAGTCGCCAGCTGTCCCGCGTTTGTCGCGGCAAACGTCGGGAAAGCAACTAGAGGAGCGGATAGTCGAGGAGGACGAAAGCGTGTCCGCGATTGTTGCCGCGCTAGTAGACACGCCGAGCCCGCGCGCGAGCGGGGGGGGCGTCAGGCAGGTAATCGGCGCAGCCAAGCTGAGGCCCAAAACGCCCCCTCCCAATTGGTCGCCGAACGGGTTGGTACCGGAAGAGCCAAAGCCAGGAACCGCGAAGTCGCGATTTGGGGAAATTAGCGGAAGTGCGCGAGGGGTGGAGCAAAACGACGCGCGAACGAAGCCGAGCTTGCGGTGGAAATCGCCGACGAGCGGTGAGCCAGCGGTGCCGCCTGCCGAAACTTCGTTTCAATTTGCAGGGGCGTCGGGGGAGAGACATCCGGGGGCCCCGTTGACTCGGCACAAGTCGGCGGACGCTCCGACTCTGCGGCGTCCGTTGGGCACGCTTTCTGAGGATGGCTCGGTAGAAATAGAGAAGCTGCAGAAGGTGCTCAGCGTGCCGCTTGAGACTACGAAAAGTAAAAGCGGGCCTCTAGATAAGTTTGGGGCGAGCAACCTCCCCAACCACAAGCGATACATTCAAGGAGAGGTTGCCTAAGAGCGTGCTAAAGTAAAGGCAATTGCTTGCGACAAGCGCAAGTCTAGACCCAAAGCTTGGGCCATTTTTAGTAGGTAGAAGTTGCTTTTGATGCTTGCTTAGGTGTAGCATTGCTTTTCGCAGCGTGTATGGGTCGTACATTGCCAGCGTCAAGTCACGTGGGCAGGCAAGCGCCTGGTTTCAGCCGTGTTGAAACGTGAAACATGGCCGGTTGGTCTAAGCTCGATCTAACCGCCCGATATCATTTTCATCATCTATGACGGACTTCCAAGGCGGCTCAAACCTTGAAACGATGTTAGATGTGAATGCGCTTTGGGTAGTACCCAAAGCGCGATGTGCTATACGATATGCTATCATTGCCGGCGTAAACTGGCACTGATGCGCAGCAGATTAGGCACCGAGGTCGAATTGAGGGCACCGGCCTAGTGCTACTTTTTCATTCTCGTCGTATAGGCGCATAGTGTGCGCAAGCCTGGGCCCAAGCACTGTTAAGTTCTCTATAGGTGCGCGGCAGTCGCGGGCGCGCTGCACACTGAAACGCAAGTTGAGATCCCCAGTTGCAACTGACATATGCAAGTTGGGAATTGCCCATGAGCTTCCACGTCGGATTTAAGTGCAACGTACCGTCACGACCGTGCATTCGGGGCTGTGGCAAGCGGGGCCGCCGGCCGTCCTATGTGCCGATCTGTGCGGTCTCGGCGGCCCGGCCGGCAGAGATCGACTGTCAGATATGAAGCTCACTGAAGTCGCTTGAATCCTGCACATCGATCTGTCAGATCGAGGGTCAGCTACTATATATCAATTATATAGCTCGTTCAGTTCGAAATGAAGTGATTGGAAACGGCAAACTCAGTGGCATGCTGTCACAGTTTGACTAGCTTCATGTCATGGCGGATCGCTAATTTAGTACGTACATCAATGTATTAACCGTTAGTTGAGTTATACAGAGTGATATCATGCATGCCTAGATGGCCCGACACTTTCCTAAGAATCAAAGCCTCCCCAAAGCGTATCAATCAATTCAGTGAAAGCCTGGGGCGGACGGATCATTGGTAACCTTAGTACGGTTAGTTTATTAACGCCCTTCCGACGAGGCGGCCACGTCATAAGTCGGGCACCAGTGGAGACATGCAGTCTGCCGGTGAGACTGGGATCGGACCGTATGGTTTGATGAGTTGACTTCAACTCCAGCTTGCTACTGCTGCGCGGCAAGTGAGACGGTCGCGTCTAATTTCCTAGGATCCTACCTCTACGGCATACAAACAGTCACCCAAATAGATTCAATAACCTTGACTCAGTGAAAGCATGCTTAGAGAATGAAATCCGACTATCTGACTAGCGTTGACTATCGATCAGCTGCTGGCCACCGCATTGCCTTCGAGGGCAAATACTGAATGACAGGCTCAAATTAAACCAATCGACCCACCTAAACTCGCCGCGCACTAAAGCAACCAATATATGGCTTTTAAAAATGATGCAATCGGCCGATGCCCTATAGATAATAGAACGACGCGGCGGCGCGTCTGCGGCTTGGTCTGCGGTGGGCATTGAGAGCAGGTCTTACCAATATCGAGCCAGACTGGCGGTACGTACGTCACAAATTGGCAATTGAAGGACCGGACGGCCAGACGGCAAGACGTACGCGCATATATACTCTCCATTGATTACGTTGGCGGCACACTGCATATTCAACGTTCGTATTCCCCTTCACGTCATTGAATGGTGACGCTTCCACTGAGCCAGACGCTGAACGATCTAGGTCATGGCTCTGGCTGGCTTTATGCCACGATGCCGGCCCGGTACTGGGCGGCATGATTATCATAATCTGCATCGGGCATGCATGGGGCTTCGAGCTTTGATTGCTTGACAAAACAAATCGACTAACGTCATACCGGTTGCCGCTGGATATACCCTTTACCGATGTGGATCTTCTAAAGCATCCACTGTCAGTTCAACTCTTTGAGCGCCTGCGTTGCGCTTCGCCACGAAGCTGAACATACAGACAGCCCAGCAATCAATCTAACTCCACACGTGCTTCAGGCTAGCTGGCACTTTACGCACCGTTGTTTGATGCTAGTGACGACAATCATTGAATGCTTTGATTGTCGAGGTTCGCACTTCCGCGCGCATAGCTATCTGCTTCAAGGAGTGTAATCACGTGGAGAGTGCGGGTTTTACTTTACCAGAGTTCCTCCAATCTGTGAAAATGTCCTGCAATTGACATCTACAAATGCCGCGATTCGGGTAGAGCATGCTTGTCCGGTCTTCAACTCACGACTGGCGTTCCGATCAAATGACCTCTTGACTAGCTATATTGCATTTAGACCCCACCGACGCAATCCATAAGATGGAATGTTGAACCAAAGCTGGCGAGCTTGTAATAGCTTATGCTCTGTTGTGCTTGAGCGTCTTGAGCGCGACCCACGTCAGTAACCGGAACGCAACGCAGAAGAGGAACAGGTAGAAGATGTCCCATTTGGCCTGGCCTTCGTGCAGATTGCGCTGGCTCTTCAAAGCGGTCCACACGAAACTCGGGTTGTCCGAGAGGCGGGTGCAGTCGCAACCGGGGCACGAACGCGTGGCGCAACCTGAACAAGCAAAGGATTGGAAAATGAGACGGTGATATCGCAAATTGCGATCGCTTACTGTCACGGAGAGGGTCTGTGTCGAAGGTGCAAATTCAGCGCTCCTGTAGACCGAAAAGGAGCACAGGTCAAAGAGATTGTTGGGCGAAAGGGGGTGACTCTCCTGTCGCCCCGTATGGGGGTTGCCGAAGCAGGGTATCATCCTTAACGGAGCTAAGAGAATGGTGCGGCGAAGAAAGCGAAAGCCTTCGTGCGTTGCTTGATTACTGGGCACTGAGGCGAGCCACGGGTCGGAAAGATTCGCAAGATTCAAAAGCAGTCATCTTCTTCTGTTCCTTGTGGCATCGAGGCAGCTAGCTTAGTCGTCCTAGACGGAGCTGATTGATCAGTCCGTGGAGATACATTGGAGTCTTGGTGCGTCGCACAGTGAACACGGTCGCTCGTCGGTCCATTATAGAGTATCATTACGAGTATGGCTCGAGAAATGGACAAATAAGAGCATTTCATGCAGCAGCATACTGGAATCAGAGTTCGTTTCTGAGCAGCTTGCCGAAACTCGGCCTGGTCTATAACAGCACGCGAAACGTCACCTCCTGAGCCAAAAGCAAAGGAATACAAAGGAGCATCAAAACGGCGCCTATTGGGGATTCAGGGAGGGGAGTTAAAAGGAACGGGGAAAAGAGGCAGGACCTTGCATTTGTGACTCTCAATCACGACATAAGCTCTGAAACCAGTCAGTCGTTTCGTCTGAAGGAAGGGGTTAGCCGTCGGGCACAGAATCGTCGGTAGTCTGCGCATCCTGAGTTAACCAGTCAGCTGTTCAATACACTTACACTAAGCAAACGCAACTGTTTCGGGGGGGAAAAAGACACCCCAACTTGCAGTCAGAATGGGCACCCCCCTGCGAAAAAAAGCGGCGCACCTGGTGCAGAGCACGCCGCGGTTGTGGTGTCACAAAAGAAGGCCACTGACGTCATGCCTTGAAGAGCGTACTGGAAGGGGCTGCCGTACACGTGGCAAACGATGACGTCAGAACGTGAGGAGCTAGAAGCAAGCAGCATAGGAAGCAAATGAAAGAGCATGCTCTTTCCGGGTCGAACGTACTGATTTGAACATAGATGTGTGGCCGTTCATACGAAAGGCGCAGAACGGAAAGCGAGACGCCATTTAGAATTGAGCCGAGATTGGCTGCATGTAGGGCGGTTAGCGAAGTTATGCGCTTTTGAGGAGAAAAGAGCGTGAGCTTACTTGGTCCAGTAGACCCAGATGTAGACTGCACATAGCAGGACGGATGCAAGGTGAGCAAGCTTTTGCGGTGATTACTCTAAACATGTGCCGCTTGCATTTCGCACAAGAAACGTTTGACAAGAGCGCCGCCCTTTGCGTCCAAAATCTCATTTCCATCAAGGTATTTGCAGAGAAGTATGTTCTTACAAGCGAAGGCTTCTGCATAAGGAACGCTTGAAAAGGGTCCATTACCTCGTAGTCGTCGGCAACAAGGGTGACCGTTTTGCTACAATCCCAATCGGCCGAGATTGTGCATTGGAAACCCCGGTGATCAAAAGCCTCGTCAGGACCTTAAAGAGTCTATCTCTCCTAAGAACACGCCGAATACGGACTTTTTCGACTGCTGAACGAAATTGATTTTAGCAGCCTTCTTTTCCGTTTATGAGCTCGTAGAGTCTCAAAACTCCACTCATTCAATCCAAAGAAACGGCAGGTGTCTGACAAAGTAAGAAACGGCAGGTGTCTCTGCCGGAACGGTGCCTAGACGGAAAGTGTGAAGAAGTTTCACGGACCATGGTTCGGGCTTTGTCTTCAAATTCGGTTGAAAATGGGTTAGCGTAAGCGGGTGCCTCACCGTCGGGGATGAGAACACGTGGCAGGACCAGCCCGGCTGTGGCTATCCACATGCTTGTAATGCAGGTTACGATAACCGAAGAATGCTGCAACGAAAGCATAACCCGGGCTTTTGATTCGGTTTGTCTTTATGGTCTTACAGGTCTTCAAGGTGATTTGAGATTCGCGATCCACAAGGACACGGAAGGTCACGCTTATGAGGCCCAATACATGAAAGTTGAAGAGCCCAATTCCGCAGGAGAGGTATTTGTGAAGGACCTGCTTTTTCAGGGTTTGGATGGGCAGAATCAAGGTTTTCGAGTTGATGGAGAGAACGAGGCACAATCATCAAGCGTACAAAGAAGCTGGCGGAACCTCATGGTTATAATCAGATCCGGGATGAAAAGGCGTAATGACCTGGAAAACTGCCCTTGCCGCAGGACGGGGCTTGCCTTTTGAAATCATGCTGAGAAGGTAGACGTACATCGTAAATCATGACGGAACATGACAGCCAAAAATAATAGTTGGCCGTCCCTCAAAAATACAAATTACCACGAGGTAGGTTTCCAAGTGAGTAGGGCTGGCTGCGGCCTCAAGCATTTGGAAGAAGGTGAGGGCGAGTCAAAACATGTGGAGCGAATCGGCTGATAAGCATGACGCTGATAAAACCAAAGAGAACTGATTTGCTGAGCGATTGGGAACAAAGAAGTGCCCAACAGCCACAAGAGTGGGGCTGGCTGTCGCGACGAGCTGTTCTGACGCAACACGGAACAGAGAAACACGAATCGCAGTAGAACGTTACACCCGATCATAAGTATTACGATGAGAGTGAAGAAACAGGGCCAAAATGACAGAAAAATCAATGATTGCGAAGTTCATAAGTCAACTTTACACGGGCGTGGGTCGTGACGAGCATTCCAAAGAGGGGACGGCGACGCAGAACATGCAGACCGTTACACGTGATCATAGATTCGGCGCAAAAAACAGCAAAAATGGGAAACCGAGCCAGGAGTCTGGCATCATTGAAAGTCTTAACCGCTCACTTTCCACGGGCGTGGGGCTGACA